TATCTTTACCAGGCCGGGTACCATGGCTCCGAAACATCCTCTGTGAATTGACCAACGAGGATCATCCCAAAAAGATGTGTGCAAAAAAGCTGCCAGATAGTCTGGGACACTGATATAGAAGACCTAAAATCTCCAAGATTTTTTGTACCGAAATCATATCTTCCATAATGGAGTCTTGGACCAGCTACGAGGAATGATTCAAAGGTGCTTAATAATGATCATACATCTTGGGGAAGATCCAAATCCCGTGAATGGGATGGAATAAATTGAATAATGATCTTCCAAATCTAGCAGTCCATTCTTCAAAGCCTCTTTCTTGTCCAAACATAGAGAATTCTCGAACATGTAGGGGCTTTACCCCTCTTGCAACTGAGGTCTCAAGGAGATGTTCCCAAGCTGTTCCCAACCTTTCACCAACGCCCAGTTGCTCCGCCAAATGCGTTGCACCTCAGGCGCTACATGACGTTAAACAGTCAAGAGATGTAATCAATGTTTTTTTAATGATGGTGAGTGATGGTTAGTTGTACTATGTAATGCTAATGATAAAGCTGATGATAAAACTAATGATCATGCTAATGTTCATGCTAATACTGTATAATATATAGTATCATGTTAATGACAATGGTTGATATTATATATATATTGCATATTAACCACAAAAAATATCGAACAATAAGATAGAAGTTGGTGAAATCCGAAGCAAAAATCATCGTGCGAGCCTCACTTCTTCATCACCTTGTTGGGGAGTACCATCCATCATCCCAATCAAAATCAACCATCTTTTTCAGCATCTTGTTGTTGATGGTTGATTTTGATTGAGTGTGATGGATGAGTATTGTGATGGATGATAAATGATGCTAAGAATATATAAGAATATGGTAGGTGGATGGATATATATATATATACACATTTTATGGTTAATGATGGTTGAAGATTGTTCATGATCATTAAAATCCATAATGCATGGTTGATCATGGCCAATAATGGTTGATGATGGTTCATAATGATAAATCGATTGTACATTATGAGGGATGGTCAAGAATAGATTTCGATAAACCCGAAATGGATATGGAAAGTCTAAGAGGTTTTGATCACGCGCATCTCGCTTGCGAATTGCCGCCCAGCAGTTCTGATGACAGGTCCGCTCCGGGTTTTTCAATGGGCTGACTTAAGGGGATATCTGCAAGAAACCAAGGTTTAAGCACCCAACTAGGTGAGAGGTTTCCTGTAGTTGTTCCCTTAAACCAATGCTGGGGTTCAAGTGCGACTCTCTCTCTCTCACTCTCCCTCTTTCGTGCAAAGCGGTGAATGGCCATTCACACCATTAAACCTGTAATTTGACTCTAGAAGTTGACAACTTTAGTATAAGTATGGTATTGACCATTTCTTACCCATCTATCTAATCCCAAAACGGCTCGAAAACCATGGTTCAAAAAAAAAATGCAAAAATAAACAAAGGAATCCGTGGGTTTTGGGTTTGGGGTTTAGGGTTTGATGTTTCAAATCTACACCATTTCACATGGGGGAAAAGACCCACCACCAGCGCCTTTCTCACCGAGGCCGCTAGGATCACTGTCCTGGCGAAGGATGGGGGGTTCCACAAATGTTCAGATACCCCAAGCGAGCTCGCTGGATGGTTTACAATGGAAAAGCCGAACCTAAAAAAAAGGATGATTTCGGGGGGTCCCCCCATTTAGGAAACCTGATTTATGATATACATATATATATATATATACATGTAAATATATGGTATAATACACCTATTAGTATCACCATGATTTTCCATAGCATTCCATATAGCTACTACCTTAAACTAGCAGATGGCAACTACAGTTTGCTATGGAAAATCACCATCTTTGAAAGGTAAATCCACTATAAATGGGCCATGTTCAATAGCTATGTTAAACTACCAGAGAGTATGTATATACATGGTATATAATGTTTATAATGGGATACAGAGGTTTATATGTTTATTTATAGTGGTATATGATTGTTGTTGACATATATCTATCTATCTATAATCCCATAAAATCAGCAATGGAAAGTGAGGATGTTACATCCCATTTGATGAATTATGGGAAGTAGATAGGATATCAAAATTTCAGTGATGGTTTTTTGAAATATCCATATTCTATCTACTCAAGGATGACTATAGTTTGATGGTACATAGCCTAGAATCTACCCTGCGGCAATCAAAGGTGTCTGGCTGGAAAATCCCCCCGACCTAAATGGAGAATGGTGCCCCCCGTTGCGATGTGAATGTTGGTTTATGAACCCCATGAAAACTCGTTCGTGATATCTACTAAAATACCATAGAATTCAGCCACTTTTGTGTTCGGCAACGGTTCACGCTATCGACTGGGGGCCCCATCCTGTTTTTTCATAGATATTTGCTATAGAGATTTGCTATAGATCCCATGAAGTCCCAGTAAAGCACCATTATTTCACCATTTACCCTCTGGTAATTTAACATAGCTATTGAAAATTGCCATTTATGGTGACTTTTCCCATTAAAAATGATGATTTTCCATAGTTACGTTAGTTTACCAGAGGGTAACCACCATTAAACCACCATTATTTCGTTGGGAAAACCATCTCCGTCGCAGCTCCAGTGTCGCCAGAACCACCCCGACAGTTGCGCCTGAAATCAAAACCTGTATGCTCGTCCTGGGGTACTCCAGGGACTGGTGAAAGTTCATCAGAAAAGGTTAAACCCTCTGGTGATTTAACGGAGCGAACTGGAAAGGCACCCTTTTTCATAGGAAAATCCATGTAAATCATATTAAATCATCTATAGAATTGGATATGTTCCATCGCTATGTCAAATAACCAAAGGGTATCTCCTATTTGGAACCCCAAAACGAAGAGATCCAATAATCCACGATGGGTTTTCAGAGAGAGTATTTAGTATTGAGAAGGATGAATAATGGGGGGTCATTTTCTCGTGTTTCTTAGCGGTTTTTTCTTGTCGTATGAATAATTCATACGTAGTCTCCTATTGTTTGACGCTGTTCTATCTTGTTTGGGAGGTTGTTCCTGCTACGTCAATACATGTTTCTTGCTTCACATGGTTTTGCACTTTTGTAACACATATTTTTTGAATGTTGCATTACGATAATACACCATGTTTCGAGAAACACGCAAAACACACACTCTGGTGCCCCTATTTTCCACTGTTCTGTTTTATTTTGCGTGGGCAAAGGATTAGACACCGGCAATGGAGGCTTCGGCTTCAGATGGTCATGGCTCAACACCTCATGGCCCCATGCCCCAAATAGCTGGTTTTATGCGTGAAGATCATCAAACATCCCAAGCTGTGATGATCCCCAAGGTACAAAAATTCATCCTGAGGATATCTGTAAAAGGCCTTCGAAAAAAGGCGCTGCGAGGATGCCATCTCTGGTCAGTATCCCCACTTCTTCAGTCACAGATTTTTTTGTATGGCTACATGCTCATGTGTGTGTGTGTTGCCATATTTATTCCATCTGTCATCCATGCCGCATGGTCGTTCTTGGAAAACGGTTTGCCCATGGAATGCGTTTAATGAATGAATCCTGTCAAACAGTCCAACCTCAGTCGGCAACCGAAACTGCTATTGTTGGCTACAGCTTTGAATTTGAAAGTCATCAAGCCAAATGAAAGATGTTCCAGCAAGCCATGTTTGATATATCCAAATTCCATCTTTTTCACAGTAAAGCACCCTGCCACCGATCCACAGCATCTTCCTAGCCTCCTCCGGCTCTTGTAAGGCATCCACTTCTGCACTGGTCGCCCTTCTTTTTGAGCCGCCACCCTGGTGATGATTTCAGTGTTAATTTCTTGGAAAATTGGGATGTTTGACCAACGGATGTGGGATAAGTGGGATATGGGTCTGAAAACGGTGGATGCCCCCAAATTGCCTATTGCAATGTGGAAAATGGATGATAAATCAATGGATTTCGGGGTGGTAGTTTAAGACTATCCCATAGGTAACCCGTAATTTTAATGGGATTGTGTGGGGTTCAACGCGTCAAATGATCTTTTGGTTGGGCTTTGTACTTGGGTTTGCCCAAGAATAACAAGGAATTTATCCATCACAGTTCCCATTCATCATGTTGCGGCCAAAAACCCCATTTTCAGACAGCCTCTATAAAAGTTGACGTGCTAAGTTGACCATAGTTTTTCAGCATTCAAAGTTTTGGATCTGATATATATATAGTGGCGGACACCTAGTTAGAACCTATTTTGGAAAAAAAAAACGGACTTCGTACATCTGGCCGGGTTCTTACTCACATGAGTTAGAAGCGCTAAAATTAACCGCAGTTAGAACCCCACATTTCATATACCACATATGCTCCTGCCCTTGTACACACTCACAGTTAGAACCCCTTGTAAGCATACATATATTCACAAGTATACTTATATAATCATGTATAATATTATCGCTACTCTTGTATATGAACCGATGTTGTGCAAACTCACATATGTCTCTGCCCTCGCGAACCCACACACTTAGAACCTCTTTGTATACACCTTGAAAACCAAAACCCGCAGAAATCTTAGGGTTTGAAAAATACCTGAGCTTTTCTGACAAAACCCGGGGTATTAAAACCCATTTTGAAAGTACGGGTTAGGTACGGGTTAGTACGGGTTAACTACGGGTTAGGTACGGGTTAGGTACGGGTTAAGTACGGGTTCAAAATCAATACCCGAGGTCTTCAATCGAAAACCGAGGTTTTCTTATTTTTTCCGAAATACCTCAGGTTCTTGCGTTGACCCGAAGAATTCTTAGGGTTTTGGTTCTCCAGGCATACATATATCCACAAGTATACATATATCATATCGTATGATAAATACTTTTGTATATGAACTCAAGTTGTGCCAAATCACATATGTCTCTGCCCTTGCCAGTGCACACTTTGAGGCGAGTGCTCACACTTAGAACCTCTTTGTATACATATATATAGATATACTCACAAATATACATATTTCATATTACAAATACTTTTGTGTATGACTCCGTGTTGTGCGAACTCACATATGTCTGTGCCCTTGCGAGTGCTCACAGTTAGAACCTCTTTGAATACATACATATGCTCACAAATATACATTTTTCATATTACAGATACTTTTGTGTATGACTCCGTGTTGTGCGAACAGTGCGAACTCACATATGTCTGCGCCCTTGCGAGTGCTCACAGTTAGAACCTCCTTTTATACATAGATATACTCACAAATATACATATTTTATATTACAGATACTTTTATATGTGAACCCATGTTGTGCGAACTCACATATGTCTGTGCCCTTGCGAGTGCTCACAGTTAGAACCTCATTGTATACATGCATATACTCAGAAGTATACATATATCATATCACAAATACTTTTATATGTGAACCCATGTTGTGCGAACTCACATATGTCTGCGCCCTTGCGAGTGCTCACAGTTAGAACCTCTTTGTATACATAGATATATTCACAAATATACATATTTTATATTACAGATACTTTTAAATGTGAACCCATGTTGTGCGAACTCACATATGTCTGTGCCCTTGCGAGTGCTCGCACTTAGAACGTCATTGTATACATATACATATACTCACAAGTATACATATATCAAGAATCATATCACGGATACGTTGGTATATCAACCCGTGCTGTGCACTCTCACACTTGTTTGTGCCCTTGCGAGTGCTCACACTTAGAACCTTTTTGCATACAGATATTCACAAGTATTAGTATACATACATCGTATCATGTATCGTTTTGTATATGAACCCACGTTGTGCGAACTCACATATATGTTTGTGCCCTTGCGAGTGCTCGCAAGTATACATATATTCCATCACAGATACTTTTGTATATGAACCCATGTTGTGCAAGCTGACATATGTTTGTACCCTTGCGAGTGCTCACACCTAGAACATTATTGTATACATACATATACTCACAAGTATACATATATCAAGAATCATATCACGGATACGTTGGTATATCAACCCGTGCTGTGCGCTCTCACACTTGTTTGTGCCCTTGCGAGTGCTCACACTTAGAACCTCTTTGCATACAGATATTCACAAGTATTAGTATACATATTTCGTATCATGAATAGTTTTGTATATGAACCCTTGTTGTGCGAACTCACATATGTTTGTGCCCTTGCGAGTGCTCACAGTTAGAACTTCTTTGTATACATGCATATACTCAGAAATATACATATATCATATCACAAATACTTTTATATGTGAACCCATGTTGTGCGAACTCACATATGTCTGTGCCCCTGCGAGTGCTCGCACTTAGAACCTCTTTGCATACATACATGTGCTCACAAGTATCCATCACAGATACTTTTGTATATGAACCCATGTTGTGCAAGCTGACATATGTTTGCACCCTTGCGAGTGCTCACACCTAGAACGTCATTGTATACATACATATACTCACAAGTATACATATATCAAGAATCATATCACGGATACGTTGGTATATCAACCCGTGCTGTGCACTCTCACACTTGTTTGTGCCCTTGCGAGTGCTCACACTGAGAACCTCTTTGTATACATGCATGTACTTACAAGACTACATAAATCACATCACAGATTCATTTGTATATGAGCCCATGTTGTGCGAACTCACATATGTCTGTGCCCTTGCCCGTGCTCACACTTAGAACCTCTTTGCATACTTACATATGTCACAAATATACTTATATTCCATCACAGATATGTTTGTATATCAACCCGTGCTGTGCAATCTCACACTTGTACGTGCCATTGCGGGTGCTCACACTTAGAACCTCTTTGTATACATATATTGACAAGTATTACTATACATATTTCGTATCATGATTAGTTTTGTATATGAACCCTTGTTGTGCGAACTCACATATGTTTGTGCCCTTGCGAGTGCTCACACTTAGAGCCTCTTTGCATACACACACACACATGCTCACAAGTATACATATATCATATCACAGAGAGTCTTGTATATGAACCCATGTTGTGCAAACTCACATATGTCTGTGCCCTTGCGCGTGCTCACACTTAGAACCTTTTTACATATATTCACAAGTATACAACAAACCGTATCATAGATAGTTCAGTATATGAACCCGTGTTGAGCAAACTCACATGTGCGTGTGTGTGTGCGCCCCTTTTAAGTGCTCACACCAAGAACCTCTGGCCAGGACCATGGGTCGGGACAAATCTCTTTATCTATCCAACAACCTATCTTTAAATTATTTATATATATTTGTGTGTGTGTGTGTTAAATTTAGTTTAAGACATACAATTTGATTTTTCCATTTTTTTGAATCTCACGCTGAGCATTTTGTCCAAAGTGAATGGCGATTAGAGTTTGCAAGCATTGCCGCAACAGAGCGGCCAAGTTGAAATGACAAGATTTGATGCGTGCAGGAAAATGATGCGGTTCTCATAGTTGGTTGGTGTTACCCCCTGAGTCAGAACCTTTTGCAAACCAAGGTTCTAAGTGTGCAAAATTTTTGGGTTCTAACTGTAGGGCGACCAAATTTTGGAAAATTTTTGAGGTTCTAACTCGGTGTCCGTCAGTATATATATAACCCATCATTAACCATCATTAACCCATCATTAACCATCACATTTTGCACATCCCCAGACGATTTCGGCTCCTCAGGCGATGTAGCTGGCTCCGACAGCTTAGATGGGGCAATGTAGCTGGCAGGTGTCAATGTCAGCACTCGGCTCAGGCTGGGGCCTCAGCTGAAACTTAGTATATGTATCTAATTAAAAAGTATCTGGATATGCATATATATATACATATACTAATTACATGTACATATACTAAATACATTGCGTGTGTCTGTGTCTTTGTGTCTACATAATATATATATATATATATTTGTTTAATTTCTATTTATATAGTAGCCATTTCTAAAATGAATCTTCCACCCCGTTCGTAGGTTCCACGTTTCGGATTTCACCTCTCAGGGTGCAGCTGTTGACGGGATGATGAAGCATCTGGGGACAGGCAGATTACTCAGATTACCCTCTAAAGTAATTTAACGGTTTGCTATTGAAAATGGTCATAGAAATAGTTGATTTTCCCACAAAAGATGGTGATTTTCCCATAAAAGATGGTGATTTTCCATAGCTATGTTGGTTTACTCAGAAGAAACCCTCCCAGCTCTGCAAACAGGCTGCTGCTCATCGTCGGGTCGTGCAACGCATCCAACGGCAGGCTGGCCACCCCCGAGTGCTCAATGCTGCTATGCCTGACGTAATTTGTTTTCTCCCGTGTGGATCATGCGGGCAAGGTGGCAACACAGAAAAATTGGAAAAGCCAACCAATAGTCCCTCTTTGTTTATCCAAAAGTAAACATGCTGTTCCATTTGTGGCAAGTGCTGTTTGTGATGTTCAGGTGACTTTAGATCTTCTAGATCTGGTTGCCCCTGCCTGCTTGACACACGCGCTCTGAGTGATGCCTTGGCTATGCTTGGCTATGGTTGGCTGCTGGAGATTTCCATATATTTTCTCTTTATGAAATCATAGATGGTCGAGTCGAGTCCTCCAGATGTCCAGTGGGATCTCAGCACTCCAGTCGGTTGGCCGGTTGGCTGAAGCCTTCGGAAAATACTGAGGAGTAACACAGATGTGGAGAACTGGATGCCTTCGGAAAATCATATCGAAATGATTCTAATGGTGGCTGTGAAAATCTGTGAAACACATCTTTTTTATGGATCTTTCTTGGATGTTTGAAAACCCAACCAGTTTCTTCGCTCTGAGGCACCACTGTGATGGGCCTGGCGCCACGAAGGGACCGAAGGGACCGAAGGGACGTGGTTGAGAGGTCCACCCTGCTGACACACAAAAACGTCGGGATCATCATCCCAAATATGCTTGAAAGTGAAAAACAACATGAAACCAACCAATAACTATGGTTAAAATATGTTAAAATAGTGATATATCACCGACAGTAGCTTTACATCTAATGATTATAATGTATCCAAGATAGAGCGAACTGGAATCCTTGGCGCCTTTTGGTATTCGATGATTGATGATTTACTGAAAGTTTAAAAATCATCATCAATCATCATGTTTTGATGACTTATTTTTGATGATGATTTACTGATTTTTTTAATGATCATTTGATGATGATTTATTGAAATTTCAAAAAGTTTGATGATTGATGGGATCACCATGTTTACGATGACGATGATGATGATTATGGACCAGCCATGGAAATCCCAGACAGCCTCGAAACAGTCGCTGGACCTGCAAGGGCTGTCTGTGATCCGCCAAAGCTGCTACTTGCTCTCTAGTAATTTAAGGTAGCTATCGAAAAATCACCATTCTTATATGTATATAATAGGTAAATCATCAAACTAAATGGACCATGTTAAATAGCTATGATAAACTATCAGGGGGTATTAAAAAAATCATACAGAACCCCCATCCTGTTGCGATGGCCGTCTGTCATCATCCGTCTCTCCAGATGTTTTGCTGGTTTTGATCCCCCATGGTTGGTACCCTCTGGTAAACATACAAAAAGCTATTGAAAATGGCCCAGTCGAAATAGTGGATTTTCCCATGAAAAATGGTGGATCTTTCCAGTTCGTTATGTAAACGTTTAGCCAGTTATGTAAAATGCCAATTATGCTTATGACCCCGTGTAGAACAGAGAAAGTGGATTTTAGCAAAAAATAAATAATAAAAAAAAGAAACAAAAACAAAAACAAAAACAGAATCACCAAAAAAACAAATCGACAGGAAGAATCACCAGAAGAAACAAAAAAAACAAGAAAAAAACAAAAAACAAAAAAACAAAACCTGCATTTTCCGCAGTTTTTTCTTGTTCTTGTTTTTTCCTTGGTTTTGGTTTTCTAGTTTGTTTTTTTTGTTGCTCTGGTTTTGTTTTTTTTTGTTTTTTTTTGTCAAACCCTATATTCTCTGTGTTGTTGGGCTCATAAAATGATGCCGTGTTCAAGACCCTTATGGCTCAATACATGACCCAATCAGCCACGAAAAACCATCCCTTGAATACCAAGGGAACATCCCCCTGTTGATTGGTTAAAAAAAACCATTCAAGAGCATTCACAAGCCATATCAATCATGGTTGAATCCCCATAGACCTGGTTAGTTTCTAAATCCCCATAGATTTTTCATGGTGAAATCATGTAGAAAATTATATGGTGAAGTCCATATATTTTTCATGTGAAAAATCACCATGTTTCGTTGTGAAAAATCACCCTCCCAAAATGGTTCCCTCACCGAGTAAACCTGCGAGACGATTTCGAGTGCTGAGCGCCAGCGCACAGGCCTGGCGCCGCGTTTGGGGTAATATGTAGATAGAAATAACATCAAAGAATTGACATAAATGACATCTACAGTTGACAGTTATTAAATGTTATTAATGATTGTAGATACCAGTACTAAAATATATGTTACATAATAATGGTTATAATTGATGTAATTGATACTCTGGACTATATTAAACAGTAACAAACAGTACGTGTTTTGATGGTTACCCTGCATTAAACTAACCGTTTGATGTGGAAAACCCATGAACCCCCCCCGGCCCTTGTTTCCCTAGGAAAAATCAGAGGTGGATCTTCCATTTATGTTTACAGAAGGGTGATATCTACATATGTATAAAATTGTATAAATATCATGCTAACATATAGATATTAGATATCTATACATAATATCTACGTACATGTCTATTGTATAATATTGTATTGAGATATCTATATATATATATATGTAATCTATCCAATATTTCAAGTACCTGTATAAAATTACATTAATACAGCTCTCCCAAAAAAAAATGGAAAAAATGGAAAATATAAGGGAAACAGCATCGAACCAACATCCTCGAAACACTTTTTGGCATTTCTTTCGGGGTGCTATATAGATGTGATAGATATATATATATATAATGTATATATATAATATGTGATATCATGGGACATCATAGTGTATGTGTATGACATTGCATTATATATATCGCATCATGTTTTTACTGTTGTACGTTGCTATATACATTGTATTCTATGGATTGCATCAAGCATTTTACTCTGGAAAACAATGATTGGAGAATGAGGAGTTGAAAGACAGACAAAGACTCGTGACTTCACGACAATTGGAGTTGACCCCGGAACTGATGTGAAAAAATCCATGGCCTATTTTTTCACCAGCAGCTGATGTATTTTTAAATTTGCAACAGGCCCCCGATGTGGAAGCACCGGGATCATAAGAGTCATGAGATGTCATGACGCATGGGAAACAGATTTATCCCTTAATCCCGACAAATATCAAATACTGTGCTAACAAAACGCTGGTTTAGTATGGTTTAGTATAGTACTGAATCTATGAAAAATTGGAGGGGAACGAAAATCACAGCAGCCGAGTCACCCCTGCCGAGCAACGTTCCGCCTTTCTGCAAACCGATACCAGGATACACCGAAACGCTTCCCACCGAGGTTTGACCACTCCCTGCATTTGATCAATGCCTTAACCAGACTCCAAAGAGTAATATTGAAGCTAATACAAAGGTTTGGAAAATGATGTTCCTATTGAAAAACTGAGATTTTGGAGTTTCATCCCAACTTTTTTAGCATAGATCCGGTGTTTTATTGTGGTCAAAGCTGCTGGGCGCAACTGGACATTTACCGTGGGTCCGCGCACTTCGCGAATTACTCACTCTCCGTAGAATCGTCCATTCGTAATTCATCGCGAGCAAAGGAATGCTTGACCTCGTTCCTCTCGTTCAGGACCAATTTTTGGAAGTCATCTTCCTCAGATTCAAAAATATTCAAGGAAAACATTAGGTGTTTGGCAGAATAGAATCAAACCTGGGACTCGCTGTAGAAAAACTGCTGAAATCCAGAGACTGGTAAAAATGGCGCATTGCGAAGTGGTACCTTTGCCCTCCGCCTCAAAGCGACTAGTACTATGTACTTCTAAACCAACAGGTCGATAATGTGCTGTTCAACTGGTACCCCCAGGCAAGCCAACCATGGGATACCATGGCTTCATAAATCCGTGCCGAGCTTCATTGAAAGTCAACAGCACAGCAATCGATTGATGCCATGAAAAGGTATACCAAATGCGTCGCACCAGCATCGCCTGCCACACATTCCTGAGAGATCTGGCGCCGAATCGCCGGCAGAAGCCCCCCAGTTACGTCTGTCGAAAACCCATCAAACAATCGTGATATGTCTCATAAACCCCTCCGTCAAGACAGTTTTCATGAAGCTGCTATAACGATATATAACGGATTATAACGGTATATATGGTATATAACGCTGAAAAATCACTTTGGTGAACTTCCCGACTCAGTTAATTGGACGTCTGGACATCTGGTCAGCGGAGTGCGAGCTTCTGCAGAGCTTGCTCGTGCGGTTCCATCACGCTATCCTCAAGGCTTCGGTTTTGTGGACCAGGCTTCAAAAATACTCTGAGAAAGCCAAACAAGCTGGTGCCCAGTTCAGCTATATAAAATTATATACAGTAAGCTATATGAGTTGGAATATCACCCTACAAAAATCCTCCTAGAAATTCAATGAGATTCATGGATATTACTGGGATACAACGACAAGGGCTTGTGCCCCAGTTCAATGTTTCTCGGGTTTCACCCAAAAAATTCCGCGAGCCTCGCCACCGAAGATGAAGAGAAAAATGCGCCCGCGCACAAACATGGAGAGTTGAACGATGCCAAGAACTTGCACGATGAACATGGCTACACTCAGCAAGCCAAACCACTGAATGTCCTGCTTGTGGATGTTCCTGCAGGCTTAAAAATGCGAGGCAAAACAAGCAAGGCTAAATCAACGCACAGCTATTTATCTTAGAATTGTGGATGTAGGCGAGAAAATCATTGACCAACTGGGTACCATATATATATATTATTCGGTATATTAGGGTATCCAGTTTTGATAATGATGGGATAGATATATTATGGTAGCCTAATTAATATCAAAACTGGGTACCCTACAGCAATATATCCCATCGCTGATCAGACAAACCCAAACAGCAGACCTGAGCTTTTTGGAAAAAAACTGGACATGGCCAGGACATAGACTAATCATTGGCCCAGTTGAAGCATTGGCCCAGTGAAATGAAACTGTTTAGGTGGTTTTACAATATGCCAATATGCTAGGACACCAGGTAGGTCAATCAACCACCTGTACAATCAATGAACCATAACTGGTTGGTGGTGCAATAACCATCTTGAAAAATATGAGTTCGTCAATGGGAAGGATGACATCCCATATATGAAATGGAAAATAGAAAATGTTCCAAACCAGCAACCAGTTATGGATTGTTCAAGAATCACCTGAAACCTTGATCATAGCACGTGAAACACCACTGTTTGGTTCTTGAATGCATTTGTGTTTTACCCTCTGGTAATTTAACATAGCTATTGAAAATCACCATTTTTAATGGGAAAATCCACTATTAATGGTCATTTTCAATAGCTAACTGATTTTAACTGTCCCCTAACCTTCGCCCCCCGTGGAAAGATGCTCCGGTCCTGTAGGCAATGCGCACCTTAAAGAGAAAGGCATCAATGCCCAGGACCAAACAGGCCAGTTTTCCCAGGACGAATTGCACCCAGAGCCGGATCTGGGTGAAACGTCCGTCGTGCTTTCCTCGAGCTTTGGAGTATTCCATGAAAATGAAGAGGTCCGCAATGACCTGCAACCAGATGGAAAGATTGGAGGTTGCAGTCACCTTTGGAAAGATTTCCAAAACATGTGGAAATCCAGGAAAATCCACCATGGTTTTTGGGATTTACAAAATAAGTAGATACTTGCGCAGAAAATTAAATAAAACCATCTCTAGGAAATCTGATTTAATACAAAAATGGAGCCACAACCGCAAAGTGATGGGACAAAATGGGACTATTGGGATATCACCCAACAAAAATGGTGGATGAATCCCGAGTCATAAAAAATCCTGGTAATGGCTGGGTGCATCATCTTCAACATCCGGTGAGGGCAGGGCCGGCACGGCTGCACTGTCGCTTGACTGAATTGCTCATTTCAAACCAGTTCAAAAAATGACCTACACATCATCTTTCCTGGTTTCTATCTTGATCAAAATGTAGTCGAGTGCCTGATCTTCTTGCTAGTTCGCTGAAAAACTATCCCCAAAGTTCTATATTCATCAGGGGGTTCCATAAATGGTGGTACCCCAATAGCTGGATGGTTTATTTCATGGAAAATCCAAAAAATAAACAAGGATGATGACTGGGGGTTACCCCCATGGATTGGAAACCTCCAATAATATCCCATTGTATCCCCATCATGTTGGTTCATTGACTCCATAAATGTGTCATTTTCCAGCATTTTTCATCATGTTTCAACCCCATGCTCCACCCTCCGAATGGGCCCCGGCGCACCACTGATGGGGTGGCGAAATGCAGAAGCCGCATGGCACTGAAGGAGGTCAGTTCAGGGATGGTCTGCGCAGGGGAAATGGTTCAACGGCACCCGTTTCTGGAAAGGATGGGTTAATGGGATATGGGTATGGATCAATACCTATTACTGTAATACCATTTTTAATGGGATGAACATCCATTTACCAGCTATTTTGATGTTCACCAGGGGTACAAGGTTTTGACACACTGCCATATAGTTAGCAACAAACATGGGTTAATGGGAAAGGATATGGTTTTTCATGTTTTTTCCAACAACTATGGTGATAGAATAGGATATGGATGTGTCTTTTCAAACGTTGGGGAAAACCCGATATGTGATGGTTCATCATTATGCTGCCTACTCAATGTTCTTAGATTGTGGTGGGGTTTTTCTGCCAGTTACAGACACACCAATAGAACCCAAAGATCACCCGTGGCCCGAAGGCCTGAACAAGGCCTTAATTCAGGGTGCCCTGCCACTCAGGGGATAGCCACATTTAAAAAAAACGGTACACCTAGTTCTATATGGACTATATGGAATATTTCCAGTTATTCCCAGTTATATATGGCTCATATATATGGCTTTTTTGAACCACTTATGCACATCCGATGTGGGAGGATATGAACCACCATGAACCTCTGACCTCTGGGGGGTTCTTCAGCCCCTGTCGGGTGACCTTCAGGGATCAAATATGGGTTGATTCACGATTTTTCGCTCAGCTACTGATCTATGTGGGGTTGATGTAAGGCCTTTTAGGGAATACACCAATAAAATATGGACTCTTTTCTCGTACGTCGTACATCCATTTCAGGGTCCTGCAATCCCCCGTAATTGGTTGCAGATAGAATTCACAGGAAACTATGAGAATCTGATTTTCCAGGCTCAGCTTGTTTAAGGTGGTCTTAGAAACAAAATTTTATTGGCGATACTGTGGGAAATGTGACAAATGTGATTGAGGATATTTCATGGTATATCCGCCGACCCCGGCAGACGCAAGGGGGAGTGCGTAAGGGAAAAAGAGTTTATGACACAGCTGCCAGGAAAGAATAATAATAATTCGCTGACCCCGGCCGATGCAAGGGGGAGCGCGTAAGGGAAGAAGAGGTGCTGCACTGCTACTTTTACTACCAGGCAGCAGCAGGCAGCAGCAGGCAGCAAGAACAACAACAACAAGAACAACAACAAGAACAACAACAAGAACAACAACAAGAACAACAACAAGAACAACAACAAGAACAAGAACAACAACAACAACAACAACAAGAACAAGAACAAGAACAAGAACAACAACAAGAACAAGAACAAGAACAAGAACAAGAATAACAACAACAACAACAACAACAACAACAACAACAACAACAACAACAACAACAACAACAACAACACAAACAACACAACACACACGCAACGCCAACGCCAACACCACAACACCACGACCAACAACACAACCCCCACTAACCAACAACACAACACCACAACACCACCACCAACAACAACAACCCCCCCCACCTCAACAAGCAACCACCTCAACAACCACACCCCACAACAACACCAACAACCACAACCAAACAACAACACCAGACAACAACACCAACACCAACAAGCACACCAACAACAACAAACAACAACGAACAAAAACAAACAACAACAACAACAACAACAACAACAACAACAACAACAACAACAACAACAACAACAACAACAACAACAAAGACCAACAACAACAACAACAACAACAACAACAACAACAACAACAACAACAACAACAACAACAACAAAGACAAACAACAACAACAACAACAACAACAACAACAACAACAACAACAACAACAACAACAACAACAACAACAACAACAACAACAACAACAACAACCACAACCACAACCACAACCACAACCACAACCACAACCACAACCACAACCAACAACAACACACCATGACCCTTTGCCGGGGGACTCTCTTGAGTCCCCCTCCCACCGGTCACGTACCTCGATTCCTTGACTCCGGGGTTTTTGTTTCACCGGTGGGGGGTCCTTCCCGGAGTCTCCTCGAAGTACGTGGGGCTCCTTGGGTTGCCCTTCCTGCCCTGAGTTGCAGCAAACAACAATAACAAATAACACCAAACAACAACAAACCAACAACAACAATAACAACAACAACAACAACAACAACAACAACAACAACAACAACAACAACAACAACAACAACAACAACAACAACAACAACAACAACCACAACCACAACCACAACCAACAACAACACACCATGACCCTTTGCCGGGGGACTCTCTTGGGTCCCCCTCCCACCGGTCACGTACCTCGATTCCTTGACTCCGGGGTTTTTGTTTCACCGGTGGGGGGTCCTTCCCGGAGTCTCCTCGAAGTACGTGGGGCTCCTTGGGTTGCCCTTCCTGCCCTGAGTTGCAGCAAACAACAATAACAAATAACACCAAACAACAACAAACGACAGGAAACAACAACCAACAACAACAAACCATGACCCTTTGCTGGGGGACTTAGCAGGCAGGAGCAGGCAGCAGCAGGCAGCAGCAGGCAGCAGCACGCAGCAGGCAGCAGCACGCAGCAGGCAGCAGCCTATAGTGTATAGTCTTTAGTCTACATAATTAGGCAGCAGCAGCAGCAGCAGCAGCAGCAGTAGCTGCTTCTTGCTTTGGAAGCTGTTTGATTGCCGTAGCACAACAGCAGCACCACAGCAGCACCACAGCAGCAGCAGCAGCAGCAGCCACCAGCAGCAGCACCAGCAGCAGGCAGCAGCAGGCAGCAGCAGTAAGTCCAACAGGCACCAGTAGCAACAAAAGCGTCTGCAGCAGCAGGAGGAAAAGGTAGCCAAAATTCATTTTCTATGGGTTCCAGAAGTTACGTTAGGCATTTTCGGGGTGCAATTTTGGGGCTTCTCCGTCCTTCAGAGGTATGGTGTTTTCCTGCCGGCAGGTGATTTTTTTCATAGTGTTTTCCATCCGGGAGCCAGCAGCAGCAGCAGCAAAAGTCTGTGCAGCAGCAAGAGGAAAAGGTAGCCAAAATGCATACATAGCAGCAGCTACAGCTATACTACTACTATTATGGGTTTCAGAAGTTACGTGTCTGATACTAGTACTATATTATGGGTTTCAGAAGTTACGTTAGGCATTTTCGGGGTGCAATTTTGGAGCTTCTCCGTCCTTCAGAGGCATGGTGTTTTCCTGCCGGCAGGTGTTTTTTTTCATGGTGTTTTCCATCCGGGAGCCAGCAGCAGCAGCAGCAAAAGTCTGTGCAGCAGCAGGAGGAAAAGGTAGCCAAAATGCAGCAGCAAAAGTCTGTGCAGGAGCTTTTCCATGGTGTTTTCCATCCGGGAGCCAGCAGCAGCAGCAGCAAAAGTCTGATACTAGTACTTTTATGGGTTTCAGAAGTTACGTTAGGCATTTTCGGGGTGCAATTTTGGGGCTTCTCCGTCCTCCAGAGGCATGGTGTTTTGCTGCCATCCGGGAGCCAGCAGCAGCAGCAGCAAAAGTCTGTGCAGCAGCAGGAGGAAAAGGTAGCCAAAATGCATACATAGCAGCAGCTACAGCTATACTACTACTATTATGGGTTTCAGAAGTTACGTTAGGCATTTTCGGGATGCAATTTTGGGGCTTCTCCGTCCTTCAGAGGCATGGTGTTTTCCTGCCGGCAGGTGATTTTTTTCATGGTGTTTTCCATCCGGGAGCCAGCAGCAGCAGCAGCAGCAAAAGTCTGTGCAGCAGCAGGAGGAAAAGGAAGCCAAAATGCATACATAGCAGCAGCTACAGCTATACTACTACTATTATGGGTTTCAGAAGTTACGTTAGGCATTTTCGGGGTGCAATTTTGGGGCTTCTCCGTCCTTCAGAGGCATGGTGTTTTCCTGCCGGCAGGTGATTTTTTCCAAGGTGTTTTCCATCCGGGAGCCAGCAGCAGCAGCAGCAAAAGTCTGTGCAGCAGCTACAGCTATACTACTACTATTATAGGTTTCCTAAAATAATCCTTTTCTATGGGTTTCAGAAGTTACATTAGGGAGTTTTTGGTCGCAATTTTGATGCTTTTCCGTCCTTCACTGCCATGGTGTTTTCCCATCCGGGAGCTGTCTTTTGAACAGAAGGAGCAGCAAGAGCAGGAGCAGCAGCAGCAGAAGGAAAAAGTAGCTAAAAATCATCCTTTTCTATGGGTTTCAGAAGTTACATTAGGCAGTTTTTGGTCGCAATTTTGATGCTTTTCCGTCCTTCAGGGCCCTGCTGTT